ACGACTTAACGACTGAACAACAACAACTAGAAGCACCAAAAGAGTCAAGTTTAGTGTCATAAAAAGGAAGCTGGAGTAGTGTTAATTTCACTGGATAGTGAAAAATTAGCATATAAAAGAGATCTGGATGTTCAAATGCTCTACTGACAGTCCTTTCCAACGGTTCACTTAAAAAGGTTCACTTAAGGTATTAGTTAAACTGGTGCCTCCCAAACTTTTTCCTTCATTACCCCAAATTCAGGGGGGACAGAGGGTGTTGGTAGGTATATGCATGCAAATGAAAGGGGGAAGGAGGCCGTGGTGCATGCAAGCGAAGAAAGGCTGGGGTGGGTGGAGGAAACTTACCTGAGCAATTTGCGACCTCCCCTGCCAGCTTCCCCAATGACTTTGCTTGTGGGAAGAGGGCAGGGAAAGTTTCAAATGGTGATCACGTGACTGCAGGACACTGCAACCAGTCATAAGTGCGAGCTGGTTGCCAAGCACCCAAATTTTGTTCACGTGACTGCAGGGATGCTGCAACAGCTGGAACTTCAAGGACCAATCATAAGTCCCTTCCTTCAACACCGTTGTAACTTCGAATGGTCGCTGAACGAATGGTCATAACTTGAGGACTGCCTCTATTACATATAAAAACAATATCATTGAATGATCTTTATGTCATTTCAACAAATTACCATTGATGCAGGTAGTCCCCAGTTTAAGAACAAGATCCGTTCTCAAAGTCTGTCCTTAAGTCGAATTTGTATGTAAGCCAAATTACAGTATAATACTGTATAAGTAGTATTGTGTAATGAACTTGAACCATTGTGTATTTAACTCAAATTTTGCTACAATAGGCTCTGTTCTTAACTATGGATCATCTGTAACCTGGGCGTTCTTAACCTAGGGACTACCTGTAATTTCATTGATTTTCATCTTAATAGAAATACTTTGGCAGATTTTGAGTATAGTTTAGTACACGTGGCAATCTTTAAGTCAATTCAAATGTCCTTGTTGTGAATGGGTTTGTGTGTCGTTACCCAAAGAAAAATAACTTTTACCCAATTTTGGATAATTTACCCAGGTTTGGGAAGCAGTGAGTTAAACTCTCTGGGTCTGTTGTTGTCCACTTTTCTGAACATCAACAGTTGGTGGGAAGCACACCATCGCAGCTTTAGCCCACTGTCAAAACCATACTTCCCCAAGCCTATTGAACAGCAAGTTGAGGGAGGAGGGCAAATGTCTGATGAAGCCCAGCAGGCTTGTTTCGAACCCAGGTATAGCGTTCTTTCAAAGAGGCACTAAATCTACTGCCCAAACAACCCTGCTATACAGCTGAATGTAGGAGAGGCTGAGCTGCAGAATAAAGTGCTGCCTCCATTATCCTGCAGATCAGCTGTCCGGTGTGCAGAATTTTAAAACAGCACTAAACCTGCAGTCAAAGCACAGCTACCCACAGCTGATCAGCAGTTAGAGGAACAGCACAGTAAAGTGGTGAGTTTTCTGAAACTAATATGCCATTATATTTTTAAACATTATCCATAGGTCTTTTGATTGGTAAAAATCAATTTGTGTTTGCCTGAAAGTTATTTCCCCAAACAAGTGATTCTGAAAATTGATATTCTCCAAAGAAGTGATATTGTCTTAGGTTGGGTGACAAAATAGTAATGAAGGGAGATAAAGTGGCTTTTCTCCCTACTATGTCCATAATGGGTCTTCCAGGTGGTAATAAATTTCTGGTCTAATTGTTGAATTATCTGTATAGAACAGAATTGTCAGTTGCTGTTGAACTGTTCAAGAAGCAGCATGACGCAGATAAGCATGGTATCTGTCTGAGAAATCAACCCTTTCCACATCAGAAAGCTCTCTTCTTTGAATTCAGCAATATTTCTTCCAGTGTAAATTGGATCTTCCTATCTGTAATAAATAACTTGTATTTTGGATGTATTATTGTGAATAGCAGGATGAAGTTCCTTAACTACAGCAGAATTTAAGTTTATTAATGGTGTAGGAATGTGTACAAAATCAAAACAAACAAAAGTTTGGTCTTACTTTAGAACAAAACAATCCCACTTAAAATGACTGTCAAGAGGAATAATAATAATAATAATAATAATAATAATAATAATAATGCTTTAAAATGCCAATAGCAAACTTTAGAAAACAGTTAAGTATGCTTTTTGTAGTCCTCCTCACAGACAACCAAAACCTGAGTTCAGCAAAGAACAATTAACAATTGATTCACTTTAACAAAGTCTGTGAACATAACAAAATACACTTTTCTGCTATTGGCTTGAAGCAATGCATAGGCACCAATACATATATTTGGCATTCTCTTAAAACTGAACAAGCAAAGCAATGTAGTATTTACATTTTGCAATCTAGAAGCTTAGTACAGAGCAACTTCATATAAGATAGGGAATGCACACCCAAAGAATACACAGAATATATTATGTTGTATGAACTCTAACTTCTCCGTAGCAAAGAATTTAAAATATTACTACCCTTAGAGCAGACAGTCAGTCATACTGGCTGGTCTGTCATTCTGAATTCCTTCTAATGCACTATCTTGTGGTACTGGGCTCTGAGTGGATGCCAGTGGTATGGAAAGGAGGGAATAACCTTCAATCTATCTCTAGTGGTAGGTCAGACCAGCACATTGCTGCACATTGTGTATTAATACAGTCACACAATCTGACTGAATTACAGTTCTTC